GGCCTTGCTGTTGGATGTAGTTTATCGCTTAACCCAGGACGGTGGTGTAGTTTATCGTCTTACCCAGGAAGCTCAAAGTCCTTGAAGGTCTTTTTTTATTTCTTGGTGATGTTGCAGTTTTTTGGATATATGTTTACTAGTGAGCCAGTCAAAATGAGCTGACTCATTTTATAGTTCACCAATAGAAGGGTTAACCAATCAGAAAGCTCAAAATATTCAATGCGACGTGTATAAAGGCAGCCATTTTGTTTTTTCTCGCAAAAATATCTTCACTGCCAACCTGATATCGAAGACTTAAAGAATTAACAGCCGCTACTTTCTCCGAATCTACACTGCCAACCTCTGATATTGAAGACATTACGGACTTCATTGGATTCCATATTCCGAGACTACGGCAAACATGGTCAACAGGTAACTATTTGTCGCTCTTTTTTAAAGAGCGGAGAGATAGGGGTTGCGTTTAGAATATTTTTCCTCGAGAAATATCCGTAAAAATTTCAGTTTTCCTATCTCAGTTTTGTAATGAATCTTAATTCTTAAGTTAATGATTGAATAAGCTCATAGCGACAATAAAATATCCGTAGAAATTCCTCTATTTGAGCTTAACAACAAAATATTGTAATAACAATCATAAATATGAATGCTGGTCGTTATTTTAAGAAGTAAGGGGATACAAATGAAAAGATTTGAAATTTATGTAATGAATATGGATACACCTGTGTTCCCCCTCACAGGAATATAATTGGCTGGTGTCAGCCGTAAATACAGACTGATACCTGCTAGATTGTTCTACTCAGTTACAGTAGCCTAAACCACTTAGCTACTTCGATCGAATATATCCCTTTTCGGGACATATCAGAAATTGACGTTTTCCATTTCACTGAAACCTTACTTTCTCTTCTTTCTTTCTTTTTCTCACTGAAACCGAGTAGCGTCACTGATATGATTTCTTTCCGTCTTTCTACAAGATAAAAAACGGAATAGTCCATTATTTATGAGATATTGGTGGGAAACGTTAAACACTTCTATCAGCCAGTATTTATTTATTTATTTATTTATTTCTCACAGAAATCCAGTAGCGTCTCTGATGTTTTTTTTCTCTCTTTTCACGCAATCCAAACCCAATAGTCAATTATTTATTAGGCACTGACAGGGCGTAACGGTCGTGCTAAATAAGGGAGGGTCAAACATAATTATAAGACATTTTATAATTAATCAACCACTTTTTTTTTAATAACTGATGAAAAAGTTGTTTTGGTTGATTTTGTTTAGACGCATATCAACAATTCCATCAGTTTTTTCATCACGATATCTAAATATATTATACGCCATTTTTATTTTTGGAGATAATAATTGTTTTAGTGACACAAGTCTTACTATTAACCCATAGCTGTGGGAGAAAAGGTGGATTCATACCTTTACCAAGGCTATTTGTGAGTAAGTGAATATAACGATCCCAACTGGAATTGAAACTCGGCTCTCCGATTAACAATTCTGAGCCATTACAGTGTAACCCGGACATAAGAGACCCGGATATAAGAGAAACCCGGATATAAGAGAGATTTTCTCTGGTCCCAAATTAGAGCCTGTGTTAATTTATATAAAATAGACCAAACCCGGATATAAGAGAAACCCGGATATAAGAGACTTCTTCTCCGGTCCCGACAACTCTCTTATATCCGGGTGGATTGATAAATACCATCTATCTTGGTGCTGACCAGACTCGGCGTTGCTTAACATCAGTGATCGTACCAATGTTTTAAAGTGGTGTGGCTAAATAAAGATGTTGAGAGTTGAAATTCAACATGTCATGCATAAATTAACAAATAAGATTGATTTTTTTTTTCCAAGATTATGTAAAACAAGAAAGAGAGAAAAAGAAAAGGACGAAGACGCAGGGAAATTTAAGTGTTTAATTTGAACTTTCACAATGTAAACAATTCGAATTCAGTGTCATTCTTGTAACCAATTCGACATTTGTAGGAATTAACGACAACATTCACCGAAAGTGTTTGCGTGTGGCCGCTAATAAATTCTCTCCGGTGAAATCAGAACCCCTCTCCTGGGACCTGAAAAGTATTTATAACAAATAAAATAAAGGTGCTTAACAAGTAAAATTTCTCCAGTTGGCCAAAGGTCCAATAAAAAAGGCATTCCATATATATATATATATATATATATATATATATATATATATATATATATATATATGAGAAAAAGTGTGAGTGAAAGAAAGAAATCTTTCCCTGCATTTGCCCTTTCTTTGCCCTAGGCTGTTTTCATTCAACAAAATAGGTTTCACGTTGATAGGCAGAATTAATCCGCCTTGTGTCCAACGGACAAGTTTTATTATAAATTCGATACACCTGCATGCGCGCTCGCGCAAGCAAGCGCGCACATACAGTGGGGTGGGGTGAAAAAGTATTCGTGCAATACAAATAAAAAAGAATACATAATCTTCATTTAATACTTTGTAGAATTGCCATTATTCACTTCTACAGCAACCAACCTCTTCTTGTAGTTCTCAATTAATGATTTGCAAATTTTAATCTTTATTGAGTTCCATTCTTCTTCACAAATGATCTTCAGATCCGGGATTTTTATTGGAGCTCTCGATTGGATTTGAATTTTGAAATAACGCTACAGATTCTTAATTGGGTTTAAATCTGGGGTCTAACTATTTTCAGCAAGCCATTTCTTCGTAGATTTTGCAATGTGCTTAGGATCATTATCCTGTTGGAAGATCCAGGAGGAAGTTCAAATTTTCAAGCGAAATCTACGCAGATTAAATTTTCTTCCAAAAATATTTTGATATTCTGCGGCATTCATTCTACTATCTATTACTGATATGTTGCCAGTACCATTTGCAGAAAAAATATTCCCAAACCATGATGCTGCCACCACCAAATTTCACTATTGGAACTGTTCTTTTGTTTGAACGCATCACCATCTTTTCTCTATTCATGTTTTCTAGAATTACGTCCAAACAACACAATTTTGGTTTCCTCTGTCCATAATACTCTTTCCCAATAGGATTTTTCTTTATCCTTATGTTCACGAACGAATGTCAACCTGGCATCTCTGTGTCTTTTCAATAGTAGTAGAGTTTTCCGGGGGTAGCGTGACTTTAGATTGTTCCTATGAATTTCATTGCTCATTATCTGTTTAGGGACACAGATTCCTAATGAAAGCAAATCATCTTGCAACTCATCATCCATGGAGCACCTGTTCTTCTTTGGTTTTCAACAGTTTTGAGTTTTTTATACTTTGCAATGAATGAACTAATGGGAATAAATGCAATATTCAGGTTGTCTGAGATTTTCTTGTAACTTTTACCTTCTTTCCAGAGCTTAACAATCAGCTCTTTTTGCGAATTTATTAATTCTTTACCTCTTGTCATGATGATAACCTTCTTGCATGAATATCAATTACGGCCATGATGACTTGTGATTTCGTACTAACAAAACCAACGAAAACTTCCGAACAGTTTCGTCTATGCAATTTCATTCACAAAGCTTGGGTCAATCCGTGGTATGGTTTTCAGGTCTGTTCTACTGGTGCTGCCACAGCGATTGCCTGAATAAACGTCATGAAGTCACCCCCACTTGACAAATTGACCATGGTTATATATATATATATATATATATATATATATATATATATATATATATATAGAATTTGGGGAAACAAATATTCGCACATAAATTTTTAATTTATTGTATTTCCAACTAATGAATAAACATACTTTTCATATAATTAACTGTACACAGATGCATAATAACTAAATATGCATAGAAAACAGAAAAATTGATTTAATAGAAATAAATCCCGTTTATCCATTTTAATGGGTGAAAAAATTCTTCGTACAATACAAAAGAAGAATACATAATCTTCATTTAATACTCTGTAGAATAGCCATTATTCACTTCTACAGCAAGCAACCTCTTCTTGTAGTTCTCAATTAATGATTTGCAAATTTTAGTCTTTATTTTGTTCCATTCTTCTTCACAAATGGTCTTCAGATCCGGGGTGTTTATTGGAGCTCTCGATTGGATTTGAATTTTCAAATAACGCTAGATTCTCAATTGGGTTTAAATCTAGAAACTGACTTGACCATTTCAGGATATTTACAGGGTGCGGCTGGTATTTGAGGACATACAGATTTAAGATTAATACTGCTTCCCCTTAACTTCTAATGCTTTTATTATTCAGAAATCAAGAATGTCAAACCCTATGATAAGAAATGAAATGAAAAGGCATGCTGTGATTGCGGCATTAAAGGCTGATCCTAGCGATTTGGATATTGCACGTTTCCTCAGAGTTGCAAGATCGTTTGTCCACAAGATACGAAAAGAGTTAGAAGACGCTGGCAGTTCCCCAATGTCTGTATAAAAACGTAAAAGACATTCTGCACATTCTGATAAAGTGAGAACATCCAAATTTATTCAGGAAGTCAAGCAGACAATTGATGAAAACAGAGGTCAATCAATGAGGTCACTTGCCAAAAAACTGCATTTGTCTGAAAAAACAATCATGTTAATGAAGACGTTCAATACAAGTCCTACATGATAAAAAGAGGTCAATTTATGTCTGAAAAGCAAAAGAAAACCATTTAAACCGACCCAAAAGGCTTTAAAAAAAACTTTACAATCCTTCAGACGTTGGTGTGATTTGGTTTTTCTCAGATGAGAAAAATTTTGCTCAAGATCAAAAACTTAGAAGAAGAAATGACAGTTGGTTTTGTTCAGATCCTTCTGAGGTACAAAGAGTGATGCGCACAAAATTTCCTTCAAGTGTTATGGTATTGGGTTTTGTTAGCAATGAAGGACATGTTATGCCACCACACTTTTTTCCACAAGGTCTTATTCTGACAGTAATGCTTATCTTAATTCCTGACCATTGACAATCCCCTTTCTTTTGGTTTTTAATATGCAGAATACAGATTAGTGCGTCCTGGGTAAAACGATAAACTACATCCGCGTCCTGGGTAAGACGATAAACTACATCCGCGTCCTGGGTATGACGATAAACTACATCCGACAGCAAGACATTTGATCAGGAGGTTTTGAGGAGCATGGTACCACCGCTTAATTGCTGATGTTCACAGGTCCACCCTGACTCGCGGTGGTAGCACGTGTTAGGGTCCCAGCTATGGGTAAATAGTTAACCCTGAAACTGGGGCCAAAACGCTGTGAAGGTGTAAAATAGGTTTTAATACAAGGAATACATTTTTGGAAACATCATTACCAGCAGTACTTTTCTGAAAAAAAATATTACCAGCAATACATTTTTGGAAAAAAGTATTACCAGCAATAAAAATCTTGTCAGAATTCAATAACCCATTAAGGTTGATATGCCGTAAAACAAACCAAACCAAACCAATATATACTGAAGTTGATAGATAGATAGATAGATATTGAATAAACTAAGATAGATAGATAGATAGATAGATAGATAGATAGATAGATAGATAGAAAAAAACTATTATTAGCAATAAAAATCTTGTCGGCATTCAATAACCCATTGAAGTTGACGTAAAACAAAACCAACCAAACTAAACACATTAATGTGGATCGATGCTGAAACAAAGTTTAGACAAATTTTGCAAGATTTTAGGCCTGACCATTAAGATATTCCTCGTAAACAGAGTGGAGCTGTAAGTTGTATTAAAATCAGTGAGCAGTGACTAAATGCACCGGAAAGTTTGACGTAATCTGTACTTAAACACAGTCAATTGAAATTCTTTAAATTCTTCCAATTTTCCACACTCGAGAGAATCTGCTGTGTCACTTTATGTAATCGTTGCAGCAATAATGAAGTGTTAGCGTACATGTTTAATAAAGCTAACCTGTGATGTCATATATTTATATAAACAACTACGACCGTTGTATGTGTAAAAATTCAGATATAAATAAAAATGTATCTGTAAAATGATAATATGAATAAAAACGAAAGGAAAACTTTATTTTACCAACGCGTTTCGTCCACTGATGGACTTTATCAAGACAATTGTAAAGATTTTATTTAGCAACCAGTATTTATTAACAGGAGTAAAAAATACCTGTCATATAGGAGGAAAATGACTAACTACCAACACCGTGGTTCGATCGTGACACTCTGGACTTATGAATATATGTTTTCCACCAGTTGTATAAATAGCGGTGTCAGGCTACTGACTGCAGTGATTATTGAGTGACTATTAAGTGGAACTATCCAGTCGAATTAGTGTGAATTAGTGTGCGTTGATGATTTGGGTCTTGATTTAGGATTTACCGGACGTTAAACCGAACCGCTCTACGAAGAAGATATTCACTGAAATGGTTAATTATCTTTGATTGACTTTTAATTCTTTATTCTTGTTAAGTATTTATTTGCGGTTGTAATTAAATACTGTTTTATTTTAACATTGAAGTCTTGAGTTATACTTAATCATTAACGGCGACCGTAAGTCACAAAAAGTACGCCCATAAATATTCATCATGCTAAGTGTGAAAGTCAAAGTAAACTATGGAAGATGCTAAGTGATGTAATTTAATGCTTATTAAACGAAAGCGTGTACATGTTGTTATTGTTGCACTTGGATTTTTTTAAAATGAAATTATTATTTTAATTTAGTTTGAAAGATTAATTTGTATATTTATTTATTTGTTTTAAATAATATAAGGTTTCGATTTAACCATTTTCTACTTTTATGATCATGTATGTTGGTTTGGGAAGGGAGTATATCTTTTAGGAAAGGAGATATTTGAAAAACCCGGGCGCTGATTTACATATTTGGAAGATTCGATAGCGACATTCTCAAGAAATTTTCGTCTAAGTAAATTATTTTCTCTGTTCATAGTTTACCTTGACTTGAATTCTTCATCACATTTACTTACCGTAAGAAGACGAAACGCGTCGTCAAAGTAAAGTTTTCCTTTAGTCTTTATATATATATATATATATATATATATATATATATATATACACACATACACACACACTTATACAAACTACGAAAAGGACTAGGTCCAACAGTTATTTTAATATATTTTATTGTTATACATTATTTATATAGACACAACTATTTAAGTAAATGCTCTGTTTATAATAAAAAGTATTAACAACATTTACCGGCCTGAAAATGCGAGAAATTTCGTAGAAAAAATGCGCCGTTGGACAGGAATCGAACCGCAATCCTACACGGAACCATCCTATAGCCTGACGTGCTATACCAGTTTAGTCCGGTTAGCCAGGTCGATTAGAAAGATTAGTTCCGTAGAAACAGAACATTCACTTTAATATTTGGGTATGTATAAATAACGTATAACAATATATATATAATATATATATATATATATATATATATATATATATAATTTTGTATAATTTCATATATCAACATACAGTATTTAAAAAAATATGACAAAATGGAAAGGTTTTATTGTGACGCGCTTTATCCGATGAGATCCTAACGGATGAAATGCGTCACCAAAATCTTTTTCCTGTTTGTCATATATATATATATATATATATATATATATACTGAAATATATATAATGATTTTCCAAGCGTAGCTTAGATGTGGCACAAAGGCCGAAATTAGGGGCACCCAGTGAGGATCGAACTCACTACTCAGTCGTAATTGTTCTATATGAGTCAAACTTGCTAACCATCAAGGTCTATGACCTAGGATATATATATATATATATATATATATATATATATATATATATATATATATATATATATATATATATATATGCATGAAGATAAAGTATAAATATAAAAAAAAACTGGTGATATGGGTTATCCCACTTGGCTTCGTTAGGTGTCGCTCTTTATAAAAAGACAAAAATATTTTGTCTCGTTTTCATCTTGCTTCCAGATGTTGCCAAACGTATTCAAATAACATTGTCGCTGAGGCGCGTTCGCTTCTTTGGTTCTCTGTTGATTGCACATATGCACATATGTGTATAACACACACTTCTTTAGCACACACACACACACACACACACACACACACATAATCACATTCCTACAGCTAGTCTTTTCCTTTCACTTCATTTGTTTACACATGTAATTTTTTAATAACATGCATTAATTGTCGTTTGTTTTAAATTCCATGTTTTGCGCAACTTATTTTTGCTCTGATTCACATGAGTCTGCAAATATTGTTTGCAGGACAAATGTTCTCGTAGTCCATACATATTTTCTAGAAAACTTCCACACGCCGCATATCAAAAGGGTTAATTCCCACAAATGAGTAGTGACATTTTTTTTACCCGAACATTGTAAAATCTCGAAACAATGCTAATAAGATAGTGTGATATTTTATAAGCTCTCAATATGCAATATTTTTTACCAGTCGATTTCATATTGCATATAATTTAGTGCTGTGCTACCGGTGAGGGGAAAAGTGCATATATATTTTCATCATCATCATCATCATCATCATCAAGAAGAATGATGATGATGATGATGATGTTGTTGTTTCATGAAGCCATTAATTCTTAAAGATTCGGGTTGTTTCCTTTGCTTTACCATTTTAAATTGTCATCTAGTAATATGTTTTAGTTTACTGCTATACCGCTGACGTGTACATACGAGTGAAATTCCTCCTCAGTTTCTTCCCATGTTGAAAATTTCTCCCCTCAGGCCCTTGGAGCTAAACTTCCTCCCATTAGATTAGAAATTTCTATCCTGGGAGTCAAGTGGCGTCTGATTTAGAAGCACTGAACTAAATCAAGTGGAGTGCGAGGTGAAATTCACCACTCTTCTATGGAGAAACAAAGTAACTTATTTACACTAATTTGTATGACTTGCTTGTTAATCGACGCTTGAATATAGCAGAATGTTCGGAAAGTAATGTCGTCTTACCAGAAAACCTATAAAAACAAATATATGTTAATTTATATTAAAAAATGATATGTCTATATTTCTGAGATGAGGTATTATGCACACTATTTACACTATTCGGACTATTATCCTCATCTTTTTCGCCATATTTGTCTCAACGTTTCTGCTGTTGTACGCTCCGGCCTTCTTCAGGTGGTTGGAATGTCGAACTGATCTCTTTATTTCGCTCACCGCGATAGACTGTTCTAGTTTTACGTGCCATGTTTAATGGATGTCAGTTATCAGTTATCTCTTGTTAATTCCCCTCTGAAACTTCTCTACTGCCTTAACCGGGTATTGAACTCACGCTCTTTGGGCCCTGTCACTGGATCTAACTAACACCTTTATCCACTGTTCCATGTGTCCTTGAGTGTGAGTTCAATACCCGGTTAAGGCAGTGGAGAACTTGGAGAGGAGAATTAAGCAGGAGATAAATGATAACTGACATCCATTAATATGGCATGAGGAACTAGTCTACCCCAGTGAGCGAAATAAAGGGTTCAGTTCGACATTCCAACCACCTGAAGAAGGTCGGAGTGTACAACGGCTGAAACGCTGTAATAAATATGGCGACAAAGATGAGGACAATAGTCCGAATAATGTAAATAATGTACTCAATTCTCTGTTCTATATGTAACGGTCTGAAGATTGTCCTGAAGCATGAAACAGGCTACCATCACCCGGAGTTGTCTTCAGTATCGACTTTTACATTTACACAAGCTCTATCCCCCATATTGAGCACTTTTCCTGTTGTAATGTGTCTATTACTTAGTTGAGTTCAGTCAATCTTAGAATGAATCCAGCTGCAGATTACTACTGTCTTTTGTCAGACAACAGCTAAATACGCTTTTTGCTGTCTCGATATTTACCAAGACCTCCCCACAAGGCAGGGCCTAGCACAAGGTTATTTTATATGGGACGATTCCGAGGCGGTAGGCTAGGGCAAAAATTGCCTATACACCCTGTAATAACGGGGTCGGATAGCTGCCTAGACGGGACCCTTCAGTATAGCGTCCGACAAGCGGTGTATTATAAAACACAGAGGTTTTGCTGTCTCGTTATTTATCTAAGACCTCCCAACAAGTAGAAAAATACAGAGGGTGTTGATAAGGTTAGATTGGATCTTACGCAACCATTAGTTCCTTGAACTCAAACAGGAGAACAGCTGTCGTTGTTAGGTTTTCTGCGATAAGAATGGGATGTGAGTTCGATTTTCGACCTAAGCTCAATTTTTAAATTTCCGGTGAGCGCTGCTTTCAAATGGCTGTCAGGTGACACTCGGTCTAGAAATTAAAAAAAATAAATTCCTTTTGATTAAACTTCCACGTGATGTTTCTCTTTTATAAAAGTCTTTGGGTAGAACCTGCGACTAGAAATAAAAATTTTCCCTAATAGTATAGATTAAGCCATGTAAATTAAGAATAAAAACAAAGAGGAATTATGAAGTTTTATAATAGTTAATAGGAGGGGGTCAGTTTGCTGTGTAAATCTATTATAACTTGACTCACTGTATACGAGCCAAAACAACTATGGTAATATGAAGTGATTTCTTAAAATATAAAAAGAAATATTAAAAAATATAATTAAGTTCGTAATCCGTAGAGTTTAATCGCTAGTAAAAAAAAATAAAAATAAAAAAATAACGACCCCTCTGTTATGAACAATAAAGAGTGGTCTCCCCTTGTTTCGTTACTTTCCTCTTTGAGAGAGATGTTTCTGTTTACTGGGACTATAAAAGTACACTATACGTGAACGTTGTATTCTCAGTTCAATAAAGCTTTCTTCAGGCCTACACCTGCCTACTTTTGTCATTACGCCCTCCAAAAGCAAACAAAAAAAATTCTCAAACAAAATGTTTCGAAATAGCGAAAAAAAACTTTGCTTGCCACTCGTTTCGACCCCTCTCCAAATTCTGATGAACCTACAATAAAAATAGGCAAAATTGTCAAATTTTATATGTCTAAAAAATATTTTCTGGCTTTAAATAACCTGCAGAGGGTTGATAAGCCGTAGAAAACGAAATAAAAACAAATAAGAGATTCACACTACGTTCAGCCATCCATTTACATAAGCTCATCAGGTAACGGCTCGCTATTTTCTTTTATCTCCCTTGCCCGCAATATGCCCGCTTGGGTCAGTTTTCCAAACCCTCCATCTTCAATGCATCCAAGGAATTTCACTTATCTTTTTTTAATTATGAGTAGAAGTGTTTTTCCTGTTCTCATTTTCCTTGAGGCTTTCTTGTTGCTTACTCGCTGGTTTGTCACGTCTCTCAAAATTCTTTTAATATTTCTGTTTTACGCCCACCCAGTAATTTTCTGTTGAAGGCCCTCAAGTTTTTCTCTCTTTTAAACGTTCTATCTTTTAAAAGGTCATTTTACAGTCTTGTTAAATTTACGATACCTTTACTCGACTACTTTTCAAGGAGCTGCTATAATTAGGTGCTTCACTGTACGTGAGTATTTCGTCTTTTTTACGTTGTCTTCGCTGACAAGCTGAAGCGGCTCGCCTCTTGACTTAACAAATGAACTCGCATTAGCTTTCAAATAACCTGGACACAGGAGAATTCAGAGAGACGACATTTTAAAGCAAGTTAAAATAATTCATTGACCTGAAGCCGAATCGAGAACAGCAGTGGTATTTTTCAACACTGGTAATGGACAGAAAAGCCATTAATGTTACTGTCAGCATAGATTCGAGACAAGAGGAAGGATAGATAGATAGATAGATAGATAGATAGATAGATAGATAGATAGATAGATAGATAGATAGATAGATATGGAGAGAGAAACAGCATAAGGCTAAAGCACATTTTCCTATCTTCTGGTGTAGAAAGAAAAAAAACTTCAAGAAGGAAAAATAAAAACAATGTCTTGATGTAGAATGAAATAAAGAAAAAACTGAATACTTCAAGAGAGGAAAGAAAAAAAGAACAAAATTTTTACAAAATGATTGAAAGAAATAAAATATTCTTTCAACAAAGACAAAGAAATAAAAAGGAAAAACAGGAGAGAAAAAAAAGATAAGAAAAATAGAGAGAGAAAAAAGAAAGAAAAAAAAAAAGAAAGAAAGAAAGAAAAGAAAGAAAGAAAAAAAAGAAAGAAAGAAAAAGGAAAAGAAAGAAAGAAAGAAAAGAAAGAAAGAAAAGAAAAGAAAGAAAGAAAGAAAGAAAGAAAGAAAGAAAGAAAGAAAAAAAAAGAAAAAGAAAAGAAAGAAAAAAAGAAAGAAAAGAAAGAAAGAAAAAAAGAAAAGAAAGAAAGAAAGAAAGAAAAGAAAAAAGAAAGAAAGAAAGAAAGAAAGAAAAGAAAGAAAAAAAGAAAGAAAGAAAGGAAAGAAAGAAAGAAAGAAAGAAAAAGAAAGAAAGAAAGAAAGAAAAAAGAAAGAAAGAAAGAAAGAAAGAAAGAAAGAAAGAAAGAAAAAAGAAAGAAAAGAAAGTGAAGAAAAGGAAAGAGAGAAAAAGGAAACGGTTTTGAAAAAAGAAAAAAGGACGGTTTTGAAGAAAGAAAGGAAAGAAAGAAAGAAAAAAGTGAGACAATACCTGACACAGAAAAAAAACACGGCCTTGAAAAAGCGAACAAACGAAAGATTGAAAAGAAATGAAGAAGTAAAGATAGCATAGAAGAAAAAAGAAAGCAAGAATGATATCTTCAAAAAGAAAAGAAAAAGAGCCAGTTTGAAAAAAGAAAGAAAGAAAGAAAGAAAGAAAGAAAACAATACACCGAAGAAAGAAAGAGGGGAAGAACAATTTATTGAAAAAAAAAAAGAAAATAAACGAATATAGAAGTAAAAGAAGAAAAGGTAAAAAAGGGAGAGAAAAAAAAGGAGAAATATAAACAAAAAAAAGCCCGTGATATTGTTTAAACTGTACCTTCACTTGTTGATGTCTGATGTCTGACCCCAAACATCTGCTTTGCTGAACTTTATTTAGCTTAACATAATCTACAAAAATTGAACGATTTTCTTTTTATAAACTGTTCCCATTTTCCGCCTTTCATTTTGTCTTTGAAAATTTAATTACATGAACAATTTTAAATGTCTGTACATTTCAACGAAATGTTCACCTATTTTCGTTTTTTTTTTTGTTTTGTTTTGTTTGTTTTTGCAGCTCTGAGTAACTGTTAAATTGGGTTTGACAATTCCCAATGGAAAACTTATGCACATGCAGCACTTACAGAAAGAATGCGTGGTATATATATATATATATATATATATATATATATATATATATATATATATATATATATATGTCGTAATATGAATTCAACTAAAAGATACCTACTAAAATAAATAAAACTTACTAACTTACTAGAATGGAACGTATTTTAAGGTCAGCAGAGTTTTTCTCAGAAAGTATTCAATAGAAGACTAGAACAACACCATTCAATAAATATGGACTCAAATGTCCTTTTTGGTTCACTCAGCATATATATATATATATATATATATATATATATATATGGGATAACGATCTTTAAATCATATATGAAGAAGAATATTGGGTGAAAATATATGACAAAGTGGAAAAAATCGGACTAAATTTTTTATCTTGGCGCGACTACACATGCGCACAAGACCATTCCAAATTAAATAAATTAAATAAATTCTACATTACGGATTAAATACAATAAATTTTCTATAATGACTTTTAGAGATTTCACACGAGCAAAACAATTTCACGGATTCGGTCGAAAAACAACAAAATATTTCATCTTTTAATCATCAGTTTTGATTAGATAATGTGTAACATATAAATATAGATAGAAAAAAGTATCTATTAATAAGATAGTCCTGCCGGGGAACCGTAATCAAACGTGCCCACCCCCAGCCGGGGAAAGGAGGTAGTACGCGCCGGCCCTGTTTACATTACAATGTTAAAGATACATATGCGCTTAGCATTTAAATCTAAATTTCAACGATCGGTGTGTCTTAAATTTTAATCTCTTTAATGAGAATTAAATTAAAAAAAAAAACCGGTTTTCATAAGTTAAAAATTAAAAATCCTGTTAATTTTTCAGATTTTTACCGATAACCTATTAATGGCCACCTTCCAAAAATGAGACAGCGGACCTTAATCGATCCACTCTAGCACGTGTTCTTCATATTTCTATGGATTTAATTTTATTGTCATTGTTTTAAACAATCCTACTCTGTTCACATTATTTACATACAAGGTATGACATTGTCATTATCACAACATTTAAGCCGTTCTGCTTTCCGGTCTTCTTCAGGTATCTTTTGATCCGAGTAATCTTCCAGGAATTTAAAAAAAAGAACCCTTTATTTAATCTAGGTTTGCGTCCTACTAGACATATATATATATATATATATATATATATATATATATATATATATATATATATATATATTAGTACAGTGTTGTGTATGATACACCTAATTTACATAAGCGGACTACCGACCATATAAATATGGGTTGGTACCGGAAGACAGGAAGTTTAGAGATTAAGAAATTGAATCCAGAGACTCTGCCTGACTGCGATTTAGTCAACCCATTATGCAGGAACAGTCTTCCCAAGAATATACCAAACTAACTGTAAATATTGTGTACCTATTCTTTGTTTCAATACATTTTGTTAACGTACATTTTGTGTTGTATTATTCCATGCTTATTTAACTTCAAACATACATATAGTTATTGCTCTCTCTCTCTTTTTGCAGTCCTTTGAAAAAAAATCAGATAGCAATAAAATTCCGCTGTGGAAGCATCTGCTAAAATTGAAAGCAAACCCCCAAACTGAGGTTAAAACACTATGAAAGTCTAAAAATAGGTTTTAATACCAGCAATACATTTTTGAAAAAAAATACTAGCAATAAAAATTATGCCGTAAAACAAAATAAAGCAAACCAAACTAAACCAAAGAATACATATTCTATTCATACGAATGCGTTCTAAAACTCTTGTCGGCATTAAATAACCCATTGAGGTGTTGATATGCCGTAAAACAAAGTAAGCCAAACCATACTAAATCAAACAATACATATTCTATTTACACGAACCTATCCTAAAAATCTTGTCGGTATTAAATAACCCATTAAGAATGAGATGCTGTAAAACAAACCAAAACTATCTTTTTGTACTGAGACTAAATCTGTACTATTCGGCTCAGTGACTAAGTTCACAGTTTATATGTAACAAAATTCACAAACCGATACTAAATCTACTAAGTTTTTTAAGATTTAGTCAAATTTGAGTACAGTTTTTTATTTTTATTATATTATTTTTTAAAACATATACAAAATAATGATATGCAAATTTACTTGTCTCCCATATGCAAAAACTGCATACGCTGGCTAAAAAATAAGACACACGCCGAGAGATTTATTCGATAAACCCGCATTTATTAAGTTCAGCTCCAGGGGGACAATTATTCAGACAGCTTTAGGCAAGACCTCAGCCAGTGCTCTAAGAGTGAGAGGGTCTACGTTAATCCTTAAAACTCTGTTCGAGTGGGAGGACGGATATAATGCCTTTAAAAATACATTTATTTGATACCACTATTTTATGTGTATTTACGCATAGACATACGCAAACTTATATATATATATATATATATATATATATATAATTATTATTATTATTTTCAGAGTTTCTACAGACATATTTTGAATTTGAAATATTGAAATATGTGCCATTTTCTTCAGAACGTAGGCAATTATAACTCTCCATGACTTCCTTTCTTTACTGTCTATGAATTGCCATACATTCATATATATGTGTATATATATGTATATGTATATATATATATATATATATATATATATATATGTATATATTTATATGTACATATATATACATACACATACATATATATATATATATATATATATATATATATATATATATATATATATATATATAATTTTATATATATTATAGTGTGAAACCCAGGGTTACAAACTCGTATCCATAAAACTGGTATATATATATATATATATATATATATATATATATATATATATATATATAGTTTTAAGGTTTGCTATATTTATGGGATAAAGTGCTCAGTATCAGAGATACAGCGTGTGTAAATATAAAAGTGAAATAGTCGCAATCGTGAGGAGACCTGATGAATGTGTCTATATTAAACACACACACACACACACATATATATATATATATATATATATATATATATATATATAAAAACACTGAAGTCAACACTCAGAGACGACAAGCTGTTTAATGTTTTCAATTATATATATATATATATATATATATATATATATATATATATATATATATATTTAAAGGTATTTCTGCAGGTACAAAATTTAATGATCGAAATAAAAGTATAAATCTTAATATTACTAGACATATTAAAAACGGGCGAAGCAACCGGTTTCGCTTCTGCTCTTCAGGCTTCAACGGGAGATTTAATTCAAAATTAACACAGAAAAATGTACAATAAAAGGAAGTTGTGAAAGAGAAAAAAAATATCAAAAGGAACTAGAGACAAATGACAGCGAGCCCCAACAAACACTCACGTTGTTTACTCAAAGAAGGCTTGCGGGACCCGATGTAAAGTACCTCCAGATGAAATAAAGAGTGAGACCGGGACAACACGGTGAACCAGTCAACACTAGTATTTAGTCACCCCATCACGAGGGCATCATGTGGCACAAGGCCGGTTTAATGTGGGATCTCCGAGCCCGTGGGCTCGGCCAAAAGTATGCCCTTTGAACCGTATAAACGGGTTCAGGGTCGGTTTACCTCCCCGAAAGAGACTCCGCCCTTCGGCGTAGACTCATTCGGGTTCCTCCCCGCTCGAAGGCAGAGAGTTCAACCGATTAGGCGGTCAGCCGGTCGTCCGACTTCAGACTGAACCAGTCAACACTAAATTTGGCTGCACAATCTCAGTTTTTTAATAGGTGTTCGCATATGGCGGAACTGTAGGTGTTCGGGACGAGTCCATTCAAAAGCAGGGTGTGATTTCTAATTTTTGTAGGAACGTGTTGTTTTATTCTCATGTCTAAGCGTTGAGTTGTTCTCCCTATGTAGTCGGCTCCGAAACTACAAACGTATTTATAAATAATTGAATTAATTTGATTAATTAACTACTCCAGCACCTTTTCGATGTCTGTTCTCTGTATACTTGCGTCACTTTAATGGAAACCATTGATATTTGCTGTGATTTTCTTTATCGCAGTTCATTGACTCCACTTATTTTCCTGAGTCAATATTTCGTGAATTGATGAAATTTGCCACGTCTTCCGTTGTTTTTTTTCTGCTGAAGTTCGGATTATTTTTCAAACTCAGCCCATGTTTCGTTCTGCGTGTAAAGACGTTCTCCCTCCCCATCAAATTAATTCAATTAAACCGGCCTTGTGCCACATGATGCCCTCGTGGGTGGGGGTGACTAAATACTAGTGTTGACTGGTTCAGTCTGAAGTCGGACGACCGGCTGATCGGTTGATCGGTTGAACTCTCTGCCTTCGGGCGGGGAGGAACCCGAACGAGTCTACGCCGAAGGGCGGAATCTCTTTCGGGGAGGTAAACCGACCCTGAACCCGTTTATACGG